GAAATCCAACAACTGCTTTTTTCAACACTGGGAAAAGAAAGCTCCCATTTACCAAAAGGAAAACTCCAGCAGAACCAGGCTTGGGGAGGGCAGACATGTGCTTCCACTGGTTGGGGGTGAGGGTAAAGGGGAGAGAGAGGAGAACAGAATCCATTATTTTTCTGTTTGCGTCTTCAGGCATCGCAGCAGCCACCATGTTCATGCCAGAAAAGCTGACGGAGGTATCAGAATCCCAGCTGCGGGTAGCATTTGATGGTGATGCCGTCCTCTTCTCCGATGAGTCCGAGCGCATCTTCAAGGCCCACGGACTGGACAAGTTCTTTGAACACGAGAGGGAAAATGAGGACACGCTGCTGGATCATGTTTGTATATTTTTACTGGAAATGTGAACATTTTCTGTCTTAGCAGCACCAGTGCACCAACACCGAGGATGTTCCATATTCCAACACCTGAGGCTAAATTCAAAAAAAGGAATCGTGGTAGATTTCATTTCACATTTCTGTCATTTGGAAAACAAGCATTAAAAATGTAGGTGAGCTTATACCTAATCTGCCTTGTAGCCTCACGCTGCCTTTTCCATGCAGCCCTAATCACCTGTAAATGAATATGCAGATGTTCTCTCTGCGAAATCCATTTCAGTAACTCATTGTTCTATGAATATATTATGCAACACAAAATGACATAATATGATGAATGGATTCAATAAGCATTGGGATTCAGTCTGTCAGCTTGTATGTCATTCTGTCAGACAGCCAGCAATTTAAGAAATTAGCTGTAAGCTGTGCAGATATCACACTGTGCTGCATTAAAATCAACTCAATCAGAGTTTATTCCTGCCGAATACATATAAAAGCTTTGACATGACAAGAAAACCTCAGCTGATGATTCAAAGGATTAGACAAAACACACAAGCTCACCAGCTCTTCCTCTCTGGCAGGGTCCCCTGAAGGGCTTCCTGGAGGCACTGGGGAAGCTCCAGAAAAAGTTTTACGCTAAAGGCCACCGCCTGGACTGTCCCATCCGCACCTTCTTGGTCACAGCTCGCAGCGCAGCGAGCTCCGGCATTCGGGCGCTGAAGACGCTCAGAGCCTGGGGCTTGGAGATCGATGAGGCCTTGTTCCTTGCAGGTGCACGGAAGGGCCCCATGCTGGAGAAGATTAGGCCTCACATCTACTTTGATGATCAGATGTTCCATGTGGAGGGAGCGGCAGAGATGGGCACCATCGCTGCCCACGTTCCCTACGGCATTGCACAGAAACATAACGCCAAACAGAACACCAGTGTGAAGAAGTAGGCAGCAGGACTTTGGCTGTCAGAAGAAGGATGGGATGGAGAAACATCTAAGTGAAGGGCAGAGAGGAGAAGCATTAAAGATGAACTTTTACTGTTAAATGTTTGGAAATGAATCATTTCCATAATGCAGCAATTTAATTGCAAGTTTGTTTTATCACAGTGTCTCAACTTAATGCTATTTCAAGCTAGATAGAAGCCTGGATAAAGGTCAGTTAGCGGTCTGGAACCTGAGAGGACCTGAATGCCTACATGTCCCCCAGCTACACATTTCAAAACTTCGGTCGGTTGAGTACAATTGTGTTTGTCTCACTTTGTACGGTAGTTTTAAAGCTGCTCATTAACGGAGTACTTCTCTCATTACTACTTGTCTTCATAAAGACACTTCAGTGCTGCAAAGCTGGAGGACACAGACTTCTAAGTAAACCACTACACTGTATGTTGTTAATAAAGCACAATGCAGAGATATTATACGGTTAAACAATATAGCGATGTACTGTAGCACGAGTGTCATAAGCTTCTGTGTCAGTCATTTTATAGTTTGACTTCACAAAAAATGTAAAAAAAAATGTTTGGTTGGAACTCAGAAAGTGTTAAGTGTATATTTACTGAAGACAGCAAGGCTACCTATTCTTGTGTTCAAAACAAATACAGAAAGCCATACGTTTCAGTTGGTGCCTTAAGAGTAGATTAATACTTCTCTGGGCTGCATGTAGGCGAGAGTTTGTTTTATACGTCTATGTACTATGCTTCTGTTTGTTTTCACCCACATTTCACAAACAATGTCCCGACAGGATCTGAATCAACCACTCAATTACTTGACACGCCTGTCCATGATGTGGTGTTGAGCCTCTATGCCATGCCCATAACACAGGCCTCTGCTGGGAGCCTTCTTTGTATGTTTAGAAAAGCATAATTCCATTACTTTCAATATCGACATTTGGCTAAATGATATTGCTGAAATATTTCAACTGCTGCCATAATATTCAGTGCAGACATTCAGGCCAAATTCTCCTTAACTTCACTTGTATACGACAGTAATAACATGAAAGATTTCTCCTGTTCGCAACAAAGTACACCCACAGGAAATTGTCCAGGCTGAAAGCATATGGTATATGCATCTTTACCATTTGGCTGCCAGACAATGGTAAATGTACTTTATTTTGCTGATGACACCACTTTTTTAAAAAAAGATTTCTGCCAAAAACATGCAAGTTTCAGTGGGTGCCTTTAGTTTCAATTTGCTATTTATAGCCACGTGTCCCTGACTTTTCATGTAGTGTCATGAACTCAAGAACAAAACTGAGGGGTTAGTGCCAAAGTGGGCCAAACCACAAAATCTAAATTTTGTGTTGCTTTAAAAAATCATGGTTGTTGGAGGAGTCATTATATGGATCCAAAGATGTTTCAACACTGTCCAGAGATAGAAACAGCTACTTTGTGATGATTTATTTTAATTTTGCCTTTTGCTGAGTGCCAAAGCGGGCCGTACCACATTTTCTACTTTCTGAGAAAAAAAAAAAGAAAAAGAAAAACTGATTCAAGGTCTGTATGTTAAACAGCATTGAAGAGTTTCCATGGGTCATTATAAGGAACCACAGATACTTTTAAAGGTCTATGGGGTAGAACTAGATGCTTGATGGTGGTTAATTAAGTTTTTGTTTTATTTTACCATACCGTACCTATGAGTTGAGTTTTCACGGGCCTGGTCGTGCAACAACAACACGTGCAACTACCTGCGCCTGCAATATAATGGTCAGTGATTCCTGTGGCTCGGCCCAGTTTGCCACGAAATTGTCATGCCAAAACCATTATGGGCCAAACTTCAAAGTTGCATTGTGACACTACTAGTGGGCTGTTGGTTGGACCACTTTGCCACCAACTCGTAGGCTATAAACACTTACCAAAAAAACACAACTTTGGATTTTTTGTGGTTTGGCCTGCTTTGGC